AGCCACAAAAATCAATTTTCAATGACATCTGGCCCTCAGGCTACCACAATATCACAATGGTGGGCACTGTCGATGTCAATCTTTTGTACTTTTGGCACCGTCGGGCGGTTCAGCCTGCTCTTGTTCTTATCCTAAATCCTAAACCCTAAACCCTAAACCCTAAACCCTAAACCCTAAACCGTCATGACAAACGCTTCGCCGGCAGGAAAGAGGTAGCCTCGGCATCTCGGACCTTTCACCAGCAACAAACAGGCCCTCAAAAAGAGGCGCGAGGCTTTTCTGGATAGGCTTGCTTTAGGACAGGCCGAAAAGTCGTGGAACATTTTGCTTTCAAGGTCGTGATGTCGAAACGCGTCCCTCCACAAAGCTTCTTTGTGTCAGGTGCCGAATTAAACTCCCAACCGTTGTGAATGGAGCATAGCTAGGCGGACGAGATAATTTACATGCAGGCATGCGGCCCGGGTGCGGGGCGCTTGCGCACGCGCCCTTGAACCCGAAACCCAGGCACCACGTCCTAGCCTTTCAGGGTTTAGGGTTTAGGGTTTAGGGTTCGGGGTGGGGCACAGGAGATTGAGATCAACATCTCGCTGTCTGCCCGCGACCCAGTCTTGAATCCTGTCTGTTTTCCTGGCGCGGGTCCAGTCCTGAATCCTATACCCTACACCCCAAATCCCACAAGCCTTACCCTGAACCCTAAACCCTAAACCCCGAACCCATTTGAAACCCTCAAGGTAAGAACACAATGGCCCCCCCCGCAGGACCGATTGGCTCAGCAAGGTATTTGAGAGATTGGATTGGAAGCAAACGTCGATGCTTTTTTGGGTGAAGAACTTCTTGGACTTGGATGTCATCAGAAGGAGTTGAAAACTAGTGTTTGCAAACGGGCCCGCTAAAGATCTGATGGAAGCATGTGGCTCCTATTTAGTGAATGATGTGCCTCGAAAAATGTCGGACCATGTACGAGCCTCCCAGTCAAGTCTGTGGCGACATCTGGGATGGGTCACTTTAGGCATTGTGAACGGCCCCTAACTAGCAACTAGGATAAACCCTTGAAGCAGATCATCTGAGATCATTGTAGTCGTTCCTACCAAAGCGGCTGGCTTCAGGTGACCGAAATCTACAACGAGCAGATCAAGGTGCATCGTCGGTCGTTAGGTCTTTTGGCACCGCGTCTTGTGCAGCTTTGTGCGAGAAGAGCTGAGACATCGCGTGAGGCGGAACTGTCACTGAAAAGAACAGGGGGTGATTACTGATCCTCACCTCTCCCCACCTCCATGCTCCTCCTCCTCCAAGCTCCTCCTCCTCCTCCTCCTCCTCCTCGCCCTTCTCTCTTTCGCCTCGTCCTCCTCGACTTCCTCCTCCTCTTCCTCCTCCTCCTCCTCAACCCCGCAGCCCTGCTCTTTCCTGTGGGGCGGCGCTTGCTTTGCTGCACTTGTTTCAGATCACGGGTGCAACAGCTGATTTTGCTTTTGCGATTTGAAAGCGCTTGCTTCGACGCAGGATCTCTTCAACCCGGACAGCGCCAAGAAGAAGCTCGATGCCAGCTGGCCGAAGCTGAAGAACGGTTTCAGCGTCACGGATCTGCCGTGCTCTAGTCTTATTGGAGGTCATAGTGGGGTAAGATTTGTCACTTGTAGGGGTTCCGAAACTCAATAAGGAAGAGAAATCTTACATGTTAACACCAGCCCAATCACGAACTAGTTATTCTTGCAGGGGTCAGGCATAGTCAGGCACACCCTGCCGTACACGTCAGGCCTTCCCGAAACCTCAAAGGCAAGCAAGCTGTAGACCATTGCGTGCCTCTTCTGGGTAGGGCGCCGGTAGGTGGTCGGGCTAGAGGTCACCCAGGTCCCACACACCCCCTTGTAGGGTGCTGCTCGGGTGCCGCCTACTTCCACCCCTCGCCACGCAGGTGAAGCAGAACCCAGACGGCACGAACACCGTGCGCGGCACCCAGGGGCCTAGTAAACCCTGAACCCTTTACCCTAAACCCTAAACCCTAAACCCTAAACCCTAAACCCTAAACCCTAAACCTAAACCCTAAAGGGTTAAACCCCGGGTCTTCGACAAGGTTTCGAGCATGCAGCCGGGTTTGAGAGTCCAGGGCTTCAGGGGTCTCAAGGGTACAAAGTGTCAATTAAACCGGATGCAGGCTCACGGGGTCCAAGAACAAGCAGTTCCAGTTTTCTGGAGTTGAGGGGCTGTGCATGTGTAAGGCTTGGGGCCATGTCGTGAACCATGAAGGAGTGAGTTGCTACAGTATGGCCTTGGCGGGATTCCACCCTCAACCTGAACGAGCCGGTTCAGAGCCTTGCATAGCCCTTCATGCTCGCTCATGCGCACATGCAGGACGGTGCAGGCCTTGTGGGTTTGGGGCTTGGGGCTTATCGAGCTTAGGACAGTTTAGGGCAATCTGCAATGCTCGGCACATTGCGTGGAACACGCGGCGTGGGACACCGCTGGGCGTTGATGCTCCACCGACTGTGTCTGGGCTGTGTTAACCGAAAGCGCAGATCGTGACAGTGAGAGACACCCGAGCGTAATTCGACATGCGGCGAAACAGGATCGGGGTCGTGCCTCTCTGGATATGGGACCGAATGGGTGGCGGATGCTGCTGAGTAGTCGCCACAGCCGAGAGCCGTGCAGCTTCAACAAACCTAGGCCCCCTATATAGCTGGGATGCTGGAACCCCATCGCGTTGGCACACTGCTTAGGGAAAAACACTTTCGCAACCATTGAGTGTTCCGCGGCGAACGTCCAGGCAGACAACACGTGACAAGAAATGAAACACATCACGCACGCATCCACAATATAGCTGTAGCGGACGCGGTTTTGCAGTTGTGGAATGTTTCGTGTTACGATGAGCAAAACACTTCCGGAACATTGCGAGACAAGCGTTTTCGCCCAACTGTATTATTCTTTGCGAGTCACGCCGTCGCTGCCTGGTTCATTGGAGGCTGGGCAACATTTGTTCGTCATCATGTTAGGCTTTTGTTATATTGCAAGCGTCCTCAGCCGCAGGCGACATGCGCAGCTCTTGAAGCACAAAACCTGGAGACTAGAAAATGTCCGGGCCATCCCACAGGTCTACATAATATGATCATCGAGCTTCCTGGAGCAACTGCTTAAGTAGTGTTTTGTTCAGAAGTTTAATTTCAAGACACATTATACGACAACAATGAGGGCGGAGTAGCAGCGGAAGCAAGCTAAAGGTTTGCCCGGAAAATCTAACAAGCCTTCCTTGCTAGCAACAGATGCGCCGAATGGCTGTGATGTCAATGTTCGATGGGGGAAGCGCTCTGTGTGTGTGTGTGCGCGCGTGCGTGGGGTGTGTGTGTGTGTGTGTGTGTGTGTGTGTGTGTGTGTGTGTGTGTGTGTGTGTGTGTGTGTGTGTGTGTGTGTGTGTGTGTGTGTGTGTGTGTGTGTGTCGCTGTGTGTGGGTGTGTGTGTGTGTGTTCACAAAAGGCCTTATCCGATGCTACCAAGACGTGCTGCCCAGCGGGTTGTTCAACGTGCAGAAAGGCACTGTATTACGCTAAGCCCTAAACCCTAAACCCTATACCCTAAACCCTAAACCCGCTGCCGAGCTGGTGGAGGATGTCAAGGCTCAGTCCCCCCAGCCGCGGACGGCGAAGCAGGCTACGTTGCCTTGCAAATGAAGCTTCGTCTGTTTGGCGCATTGAAGCCCAGTCATCCAGCTCAAGGGTGGAGACGCAAATTTGTTGGTTTAAAAGTTGCGTGCGTGAGAATATCATGCTTCAACTTCAAAAGTTTAGGCCTGCTTATGCGACTCGCAGGCGGCGAAGCAGAAAAACACATGGCCTTGGTTGCGAAAACTGCGCGTCTGAGAATATCAAGTTGCAGTCTCACTTTTCCCTTGCCAAATCCTCCTCAGTATCAACAAAGCCTGGGCGTCATGGTGCGCTGCTGTTCGCAGTGACTAGTGACTAACAAACTTGCTGCGCTGAAACAAGGTGTTCAGTCTTTTCAGCTTAAAAAGGCTGGGTGGACGGAAGGTGACTTTGGCGCTCAGCAGGCGTATGAGTAGCCATAGGTGTGCTGCATCGATCGAACTGGCCTGACAGTTTCAACAAAAGGCTCGCAGAATCGAACATGACGAGCGCAGCAGCAGGAATCTCTGTTGGCAGCCCGTCCTCTGGAAACTCAGGCGCGATTCCCGCGACGCGTGCATTGCTGACCTAAGTGTACAAAAGGAGCTAGTGACAGCATTTACTGCTCATCGTTGCAGTGGCAGACACCCGCGCTCCATCCAACAAAGCCATTGTTGTAGCGTTGGCTTCAACTGTTCCAAGGCTTCAGTCTCACGTCTTCGTAGTGGCGGCGGTCTGGCGGCGACGAAGTTATTTACAAGTACGCGGACTAAAGTCGCGTCGCATGAAGTTGACCAGGCGCCGCCCTCAGCAACAACAACGCGATCAGCTTCAGCACAAAGTCAAGAGAACAGACGTCGCGCCGCAAGCTCGAGCACATGCGATCTCTCGTGCCGCTCCCCGCTGTGTGGCCTTTAACTTTTTCGCTCCAAGGGCGGCCGTAGTAGTCCGTCCCAGGCACTTAAAGACTACGTAACAGCTTACCTTTAAAGAGCCAAGGGCGCCTCGCTGCATTTTTATATGTTCTTGGGACATTTGGCGCTGTAAAGTTTTACGCAAGCTGGCCCAAGTTTCCGATTCCTGGCGTTATCGTCGTCTTTGCTGTCGCGGAAGTCGTCGTTTTTCGTTGTTGTTTTGCGTGCGTGTTCTTTTCCGAAAGTTCGGTTGCTGCGGAATCTTTTGAGCGGTTGCTGCGATTGCCCGGAAAAGAGGGGTATTTCCAGGCCCTGCAGCCACAAGCCTGGCAGGGCCAAGCTTGAATTGGATGGCTGACTACGGACGAGCTCTAGCGAGATGCTGCGAGGAGGTCTATGTAGTTGTAGTCCGCAGCAGAAACCCATGAGGCGAAACAAGGCTCCAATGCCCTGGGGGCTTGGGCAGCACGCAAGCATGCCTGCGGCCGTGCCCGGCGGCAACGAGTGCCTAGCTCACCTTGGAGCTCGGCTTCAAGCCAGGACAGATGGTTAAACATGGGTTCGCATACTCCGCCCAGCCCCTTCCCACGCCCCTGCCCTCAAAACGTGGCGGTCCGGTGGTGCTGCGAAGCTGATCTTGCCACGCGGACGGGAGTCTTGCACTGTCTTCTGAAATATGTGGCCTCTACATGCTGCCGAATACGGCTCACCTCCGGCAGGTGTGTCGAGGTGCCCTCTGCTGTTCAGCCACTGCCTGGCGAAAACATGCTAACGCGCTTGTCGCTGAACCCCCCGAAGGCCCCGACTCCCAACAACTGCGCAGACCCCAAGACTTACTGTTGGTTAGTAGGGAATGAGAGAATGAGGTACCCTATATCCCCCTATATATGCCCTTTACGGTCATTCCCTCATTCCCTACTAACCAACAGTAAGAAGAGTCCCAAAGCAGCCGAGGCCTGGACTTACGGAGCGGCCAGTGAGCAGCGTGGAGGAAGTGCTGGAGTTCATGACCGAGGCTGGGGTGGGGGGGAGGGCTTTGGGTCGCGAGGCGCGAGGGGTTTAGGGTTTAGGGTTTCGGGTTTAGGGTTTACGGTTTAGGGGCTAGGTCCGAAGGGTTCCGACCTACAGCATTAGCAGCCGAGACTTGTCGACCGTGCCCTGAACCTCTGTATGAGTCAGGTTGTAAGTTATAAGCAAGGCAACCTACATTGAAACCTTTGGGGCTTAGGGGATTGAAGCTTACTCAGAAGCGAATCAGGAAGTTTAAGGAGGAATCGGGCCTCCCAGAACAGCTGCTTCCGGAAGCCTGACTCCTGTTTGAGGATGGCCCTAAACCCTATACCCTGGATGGCCTGGCAGAAGGTCATTCATTCATCCGAGGCTGCCGCCCTGAACTCCGCCCGCACCCTGAACCCTCAACTTAAACCCTAAACGGAGAAACCCGAAACCCCAAACCTTACACAAACCTTCATCCGAACAGCGCCCCGATCGTGCTCAATCTTTGAGTCGAGGCCTCTGAGGCTTCGTGCGATTTCGAGTTCAGGCAAGATAGGGGTCGGAATAACGACTCATATCCCCGTATGGTCCCTGTATACTACAACTATAATAACCCCCCCCCCCCTTATTCTAATTGTTAAGCCCCCCCCATAGTTTGGCTTCCCCAACGTGTTTGGTGGCCGTGCTTGGGCCCAGGCCCAGTCCAACCGGACGGTGATGGCCACGGAACCTCGGTGTTTGCAGCAAGCACGGGGGGGGGGGGTGAGGGCTTAGGGTGAGGGGTGAGGGTTTAGGGTTGAGGGTTCAGGGTTTAGGGTTTAGGGTTTGGAGTTTAGGGTCTAGGGTTTGGAGTTTAGGGTTTAGGGTTCAGGGTTCAGGGTTGATTGAGGGTTCGGGGAGTCGGGAGTTGAAGGTTTAAGACTACGGTGCTTCAGAGGGGTAATTCCTGATCCTTCAAGACTCGAACTCGGCTCTAGGGCTCCCGTCGTGTCTCGAAGAGCCGCTGCTCAGGAGCCCAAGCCCTAAGCGGGACGTCTTGCCGCATGAAGCCCCCCAGCTCCCAAGCCCCAAACCCCAAACCCCGGAACCTCCGCCCTACTTGCACACTGCCAGTTTCCGGCACCCAGGAATCACAATGAACTTTCGCTGTAACTGGGGACTTCTGGGCCCGAAGCCCTGGAAAGCCTTCCTCCCGAGGACATGAACGAGGAGTCCAGCCGGTCCCACAGCATCGTGCAGGCGCCATCGGGCTTTTGGGGTTTAGGGTTTAGGGTTTAGGGTTTAGGGTTTAGCGTTAAGGGTTTAGGGCTTCTAGGGTTTCGGGTTTAGGGTTTAGGGTTTCAAGGGATGGAGGTCCTAAGAGGGGTTATGGCTTCAGGGGCTTCCCGCACTCAGTCCAGAAGCGTTCGGGAGGGCCGAAGCTTTGAACTCTTGTTAAACGCCTCAGCTTGCGGCAGCGCAGGTGAAGACAGTCAACGCCAGAGGCCAAGATGCGCCACACAGCCATTGCTATTGTGTAGCAGTGGAGGGTTGGTTGGTAGGTTCTGTCTGGGGGTTGGGTTCTGACACTTGGTCAGAATCAGCAGGTCTCGCAGTGGCAGTTGAAGGTTAAGTCTTTTTCGTCGCGGCTGCCATGTGCTTCCAACTGCAGAAGGTTAGCGAATGCTCTCCGGGCTTAGGCACTCACACCTTACTGCCATCCTTATCTCAGGTCGGGGATGAAAGAGTTAATCCCCCAATACCCGCAACACGTGAGAGACTGAGCGCTCTGAGCAAGCGTGTGTTCGGCTTGCTCCGTCCAAGGCCATCTAGGAGCATTGGGAGAACCAGTGATTGCAGCATCACATGGATACTTCTTCTTAAAGCAGCATCTGGTGGCTCCTGGAATGTGGCTGCTGTGCACCAATAATACAAGATATGCAAGCCAGTGGGGTTTAGGGTTCAGGGGAAACTTTGGAGTTTAGACGCTTGGCCGCTTACCTGATGCTCACTCATGATGCGCCGGGATTTGGGTCCCGACGCCAGGGCCAGCAACAGCTGATGCTCATGATGCGCTTGGGTTTAGGTCCCAAAGTTAGGGCCAGCAACAGCTGATGCTCATGACGCGCCGGGAATTGTGGTCCCAAAGTTACTATAGGTAGGGCATTCAACAGCACCTGGGCACATCATTAGCATCAGCTGTTGCTGGCCCTGGCGTTGGGACGGCGCATCATGAGCATCAGCTGTTGCTGGCCCTAACTTTGGGACCCAAACCCCCGGCGCATTATAAGCATCAGCTGTTGCTGGCCCTAACTTTGGGACCCAAACCCCGGCGCATCATGAGCATCAGCTGTTGCTGGCGCATCATGAGCATCGGCTGTTGCTGGCCCTAACTTTGGGACCCAAACCTGGGCGCATCATGAGCATCAGCTGTCGCTGGCCCTGGCGTTGGGACCCAAATCCTGGCGCATCATGAGCATCAGCTGTTGCTGAGAATCAGCTGTTGCTGGCCCTAACTTTGGGACCCAAACCCAAGCGCATCATGAGCATCATGTTGCTGGCCCTAACTTTGGGACCCAATCCTGGGCGCATCATAGCATCAGCTGTTGCTGGCCCTGGCATTGGGACCCAAACCTGGGCGCATCATGAGCATCGGCTGTTGCTGGCCCTAGCTTTGGGACCCAGACCTGGGCGTATCATGAGCATCAGCTGTTGCTAGCCCTGGCGTTGGGACCCAAATCCCGGCGCATCATGAGCATCAGCTGTTGCTGGCCCTGGCGTTGGGGCCCAAACCTGGGCGCATCATGAGCATCATAGGCATCAGCTGTTGCTGGCCCTAACTTTGGGACCCTCATGGGCATCACCTGTTGCTGGCCCTGGTGTTGGGACCCAAACCTGGCCGCATCATGAGCATCAGCTGTGGCTGGCCCTAACTTTGGGACCCAAATCTGGGCGCATCATGAGCATCAGCTGCGGAGTACTCAACGAGCAGCAGCTCTGTCTGGTCGAATTTGCTTCGAGGATCCAACGCCTGGCAAGGCCGCGATATGAGCAACATGTCGTCGGTGCCCCTCGGGGTCATAGATGGCATACCGCTCGCGTGTGTTCGGGGACAGTGCCTCTGAAGTGTGTTCGGGGACAATGCCTCTCAAGTGTTTACAGGGGCTCCGGGTGTTCTCAGCCGCCTGTCCACATCGTCGAATCATGCATGACCATGGCAAAGAAGGACCTCATCGGCATCATTAGCAGATGCCCGTGCGCAGAGTAGCCGGTCGTTTATGTCCTTCTGCATTGGGGGTATATACCGTGCTTAACCGAGTATAAGGCTTGGGGTTTAGGGCTTCTAAACCCTAAACCCTAAACCCTAAACCCTAAACCCTAAACCCTAAACCCTAAACCCTAAACCCTAAACCTAAACCCTAAACCCTAAACCCTAAACCCTAAACCCTAAACCTCAGGTCAACCGGAAAGACAAGACGCAGTTCCTGGGCAAGATCAACCTCATCGATCTAGCGGGGTCGGAGAATGTCAACAAGTCTGGCGTGCAGGGTCGATGCCTCAATGTTTCAGGGCCCTAAACCCTAAACCCTAAACCCTAAACCCTAAACCCTAAACCCTAAACCCTAAACCCTAAACCCTAAACCCTAAACCGTATGGCCCCTAAGCCTGAAGCCAGAACTTTGCACTTCCGAGGGCTCTGAGGGATTCTGTTTTTGGGGAGTTTTGCCTTGCAACTTACCCAAGTAGAAACCGCTTCTGTCAGGGTTTAGGGTTTAGGGTTTCGGAATTCAGGCATCGAGAACAGCTCGGCCTCAAGCTGTCATACAATCATACAAGTGCCAGAAATACGAGAGCGGCCGTGCTTCCAGCATCCTACCTCGTCCCACACCCAACAGCAACTTGCGCAGCGACAGCCTGCCAAGGCCAGGGTATGCGAGAGGCGTGCGGTCTCTTGACTTTGGGATGTGGTTGCGACCCTCAGTGACGTGTCAGGGAAGAGGGTTCAAGTGTTCGGGATCTCCACCCTATCTCCAACCAGCTGGAGATACCTGTAGCCTCAACATCTACAGCGGTCGCATGTGTATGCGCAGACAAGTGTGCAAAAGTGCGAGGAGAACTCAGTTCCCAGGATGCACATGTGCGAGAGAAGGTTGTTGAGCATTGAGGGCTTCGTTTTCTGTTAAGATCCAGTGTGTAGGCCTTTGGATCCTGAAGCTTGCGCCGCTTTAGACCCTGATACCCCGAGGTTCGGGCTTTTTGGCTTTGTTCTTCAGACTTACCATGGGCAGACTTTCAACGAAGCCAGGCGCAGAACATCAACAAGAGCTTGTTTGCCTTGGGTGACGCAGGGGCCCTGGTTTCGATTCTGGTTTTCTTTTTGGTTAGGGGCTTAGATGGCTTTCGCGTAGGGTGGTAAGGTTGAGGGCCGGCCGGGCGTATGATCTCAGTCACTCCCGAAAGCCCCACCTAAAAATCGAAGAGCCCTCAGAAAAGTGTTTTGGTTGGGATGTTCCCCCTTCTACTGACAGTCCTTAATAGGGATTATAATCGGGGGTGCTATCATCCCCATTAAGGGCTGCTAGTATAGGGGGGCACCATGCCAAGGTTTAGGGCTTTAGGTTGTCGGTTTTAGGTTCTTCGGGTTATGAAGCCCAGGTCCGAAAATCGGGGTACCCTTTTTCGGTCCCTTGAAGGGGATGCTACATGGGGTATAGATTCGGTACCCCTATGCTTTGGGAAATTCGGGTTTTGGGATCTTCGCCGAGGTGATCGCATCGCTGGTGTCCAAGAACGGGCACGTCCCATACAGGTGCCGAAGTCAGACCACGGGGCCTGCTGAGATGCCCCGAATAAGAGCCCATCACCGGGATCTTGAGGATTGAGGGGAGTATAATCTAGGGGTCGGTATAATTGCTAGTGAGGTCCGCGTAGAATTCTACCATAAGAACCCCCAAAACCCTGTTCTGATCATGAAGGCCCCTATGGTATACGGCTTTAGAGAAGAGTTTGTTGTTAGGGCGGTTCTAGACTTAGGTTCGGCACCCCCAAGCTTCCTGCTGCCTCGTCCAGCCCTGAAATCCCTGTAGGCCTGTAAGCCCCAACGAAAGTGCTGAACCCTCAACACCCTCAGCTAGGGCGGAGGGTGCCGGCCGGTGTATCTCAAGGGACTTAAGGAGGGACGGACCTTCATAAGGGACCTTAGGGTACATAGGGACTACATAAGGTAGTAAATATGGGTTAATGTAGGGCGAGGGACCCAGTCAAAGGATCATGGGGACTGCCATGCTGCGCACAAAGCTGGGATACCCGCAGCACACCCACCGCCCCCTCAACGCTCTGTACGATTAGCCTCAATGATCCCAATGAGGCGATGCTTCTGGCAAGCCCAAAACCTCCCCTAAACCCTCAACCCTAAACCGTAAACCCTAAACTTTCCCTAAACCCTATACCCTATACCCTAGACCCTAAACCCCAGGGTAGTTCTCTAATTTTGGGTCCCCCTCTCGGCGGCACTCGGCCCTTGAAGGGGCCCTAAATCCGACCCGGAGGTTCATTATACTTCTTAAACCCACTTAGAACTGTACTTATATCCCAAGCATCACCTTACTAGGGCACTTACGGGGCTCATGAGTGGGTAATAAGTACAGTTATAACTGGTTATTAAGTCCCCCTAAACCCTAAACCCTAAACCCTAAACCCTAAACCCTAAACCCTAAACCCTAAACCCTAAACCCTAAACCCTAAACCCTGAACCCTAAACCCTAAACCCTAAACCCTAAACCCTAAACCCTAAACCCTTAAATCAGTACTCTTAACCTCCACGTAAATCCTCAGGAACTCGAAGCTCACGATGATGCTGAAGGACCTCGGTGGCCAGGGCCAGGGCTGGGGGATTTAGGGGTTAAGTTTAGGGTTCAGGGTTTAGGGTTTAGGGTTTGGGGTTTGGGGTTTAGGGTTTAGGGTTTGGGGGTTAAGGGTTTAGGGGTTAGGGGTTTAGGGGTTAAGTTTAGGGTTGTTTAGGGTTTAGGGTTTAGGGGTTTAGGGTTTAGGGTTTGGGGTTTAGGGTTTAGGGTCGAGAGACGGCCTTTAGGGTTCAGGGGTTAGGGGTGTAGGGGTTTAGGGGTTTAGGGTTTTAGGGTTTCAGGGGTTTTAGGGTTTAGGGTTAGGGGTTTTAGGGGTTAGGGGTTTAGGGGTTGGGGTTTAGGGGTTTAGGGTTTAGGGGTTAGGGTTTAGGGGTTTAGGGGTTTAGGGGGGGTTTAGGGGTTTAGGGGTTTAGGGGTTCAGGGGTTTAGGGGTTTAGGGGTTTAGGGGTTTAGGGGTTTCGGGGTTTAGAGGTTTAGGGTTTAGGTTTTTGGGGTGCATGCTGCGGAGGACTCCCTGGGAGGTGACTCCAAGACGATGATGATCGTCCAGTGCTCCCCAGCCTTCGCCTGAGAAAAGTTCACGATTCTGGAATCCGATAACCCTAAACCCTAAACCCTAAACCCAAAATCCTAAACCCTAAGCCCTACTTGGAGGTTCCTGGTACTTCTAAACCAGCTAGAACTGTACATAAAGCCCACTTATGAGCCCCTTCAGTGTCCTAATCAGCTTATAACTGGGCTAAAAGTACACTCATAATTGGGTTCTGAACCTCCAAGTATCTAAAAAGGTTTCTAAACCCTAAACCCTAAACCCTAAACCCTAAACCCTAAACCCTAAACCCTAAACCCTAAACCCTAAACCCTAAACCCTAAACCCTAAACCCTAAACCCTAAACCCTAAACCCTAAACCCTAAACCCTAAACCCTAAACCCTAACCTAAACCCTAAACCCTAAACCCTAAACCCTAAACCCTAAACCCTAAACCCTAAAACCTAAACCCTAAACCCTAAACCCTAAACCCTAAACCCTAAACCCTAAACCCTAAACCCTAAACCCTAAACCCTAAACCCTAAACCCTAAACCCTAAACCCTAAACCCTAAACCCTAAACCCTAAACCCTAAACCCTAAACCTAACCCTAAACCCTAAACCCTAAACCCTAAACCCTAAACCCTAAACCCTAAACCCTAAACCCTAAACCCTAAACCCTAAACCCTAAACCCTAAACCCTAACCCTAAACCCTAAACCCTAAAAAGGTATCAAAAGCTGCTTGCATCCCAGGCTCAGATCAATGTCACCGAGACGCTGAGCTCGCTGAACTTCGCCTCGCGTGCACGGAACGTGGAGCCCGCCACCCTGTTGGGGGAGACCGCGGTTTAGGGTTTAGGGTTCAGGGCGCTTTGGGGGATGCAGGGGAGTTTCTAATTCTATTCCCTTATGGGCCCTCTATAATTCCACTGTAACAAACCCCCCCCCCCCCAAAACCCTTATACTAATTATTCAGGCTCCTACATTGGGGGGGAGTATAGGGCTTTGGGTTTTGGGCTTTTGGTGCTAGAGTTCTAGGGTCACCTGCCGTCCTTCGGCGTCTGCCCGGGGTTTAGGGTTTAGGGTTTAGGGTAGCGGGAAGACTCTCGGTCAGTCAGCACATGTTTATGTGCAGTGGCCTTGCCGAGCCTATAGGAGCCCTTGACCAAGAAGACCCTAATGAGTGAATTACTGTAGGGTCGGAATAATCACGATCAGTATTCCCCCATGGCCCCTATATAGTTATACCCCTCCAAAAAGAGCAGAGGCCCTATTCTCGTTTCGGCCCCTATATTGGGCCCTTGGGCTTATGTTGAAGCTGCTGATATGGGGGGGCAGGATCCAGGGGTTGTCGCATTTGCCTCTCTGGTTCTGGTATGGCTTTCTTCCCTCTGGTCTTAGGTTTTAGGGTTCAGGGTTTGGGGGTCCTTAAGCGTAAGCCCCAACCCCAAGCCCTACATGAATCCTCCCTTCCCTCTCTTCAGGCATTTCGCAATTGCAGGCTGTCTCTTCACGGCACGAAATTTGCGCGACGGCAGCCCGCTACCCCAAAAACGCACAGATCTTGAAGTCTCGGCTCGGGCTTCAGTCTTTGTTTTGCATGCTTTTAGACTTGGCTTGGATTTTGGTGGCTTGGCTTTGGAGGGTTCGGAATTGGAGGCTGGGGCTTGTAGCTGGTTCTGGCATGGGTCAACCTTCCGAACTCCGAACCTCGAGGCCCTAACCCTTGAAGCCCAAGCCTCAAAACAGACTTCCCTAAACCCTAAACCCTAAACCCTCAACCCTAAACCCTCAACCCTAAACCCTTCTATAAAGCCTAAACCCCAAACCCTCAACGCTAAACGCTTGCTTTTTTGTGGCCCTGGAGCTCTCTGGAACCCTTTAGAGCTTTGCTCTTGTGTGCCCAGGCTTGGCAAGGCGAAGCAGCACAAGTCTTGAATCAACCGCGCGGCGCTTGGCAAAGAACTGGCAGCCCTAACCCTAAGCCCTAAGCCCTAAACCCTAGCCCTAAGCCCTAAACCCTAAACCCTAAACCTAAACCCTAAACGCTACACTGTTAGGGTTTGGGCCCAGTTTAGGGCTTTGGTTCCTCGCCTCGCGGTTCATGGGTTTCGGGTACATGTCAGGGTTTCAGGTTTAGGGTTGAGGGTTTAGGGTTTAGGGTTTAGGATTTAGGGTTTAGGGTGACGTGGCTTTCTCAATCCGGGCTTTTGACAGGTACCACTTGCTTGGTTGGAGTTGAAGGTGGTCTCCCTTGGCTGAACAGAAGCAGGTCTACGTGATGGTGTGCCCCGAAACCTGCTCCTGCCGCCCGAACCCTTGCAGGCAAGACCTTAACCCAAACCCTCCTCCGCCTGAGCCTTCCAACCTGCCAAGTGCTGAGGGTGTAGGGCTGTGTCGGGTCCTTAAGCATTCTGGAACTCCACATCCATACCTTAGAACTGGAAGCCCGAAACCCGAAACCCGGATCCTTCTGCATCCCTGGTCCGAACACTCGAATTACGTTCTTGACGCTGGAAAGACTTGAATATCGGGTCGGAAGAATTACTAATAGTATACACTTATGGTACCTTTATAAATATAACACAATACCCTCCCAAAACCCTATTCTAATCATTGAGGCCCCTATATCCCTAAACCCTAAACCCTAAACCCTAAACCCTAAGCCTTAAGCCCTAAGCCCTAAGCCCTAAGCCCCAAGCCCTAAGCCCTAAGCCCTAAGCCTAAGCCCTAAGCCCTAAGCCCTAAACCCTAAACCCTAAACCCTAAACCCCAAACCCTGAACCCTAAACCCTATTCTAATTATTAAGGCTCCAATATTAGTGGCTCTATCGCCCCAAGGTCCAAGCGCGTGACCGAAAATCTGGACAGAGCTTGGGGTGGGTCCGTCTGCAGAGCCTTAAACCAAAAAAGGGTCTAGGGTTTAGGGTTTAGGGTTTAGGGTTTAGGGAAGGCCCTTGACAGTTGGGGGCAGTTCTGGTGGACGTCGCATGATGTAGCTTCAGGGTTTGCAAGCTTAGGAGTTGGGAGACGAAGCTATGCAGCCACGATTTGTAGTTGGCAGCCGGTTTCTGCGAGAGAGCGCCTGATTTTTAGAGTTCAAACCCTAAACCCTAAACCCTAAACCCTAAAACCTAAACCCTAAACCCCAAACCCCAAACCCTAAACCCTAAGCCCTAAACCCTGAACCCTAAACCCTAAACCCTGAACCGGCGAGATAATCACGCTTGCAAGTCGGCAAAGGGCACCGGAATGGTGCGCCCGGCGCCCAAAGTTTTTTTCAGCTGGACCTTGCCAGGGATGCACCGAAAACCCCGTGAATCACTGAAGCTCCCAGATACTGGGTAATGTCCTGAAACCCTAAACCCTAAACCCTTAAGCCCCAAATCCTTAAGCCCGAAACCTTAAGGCCTTAAGCCCTAAACCCTGAACCCTAAACCCTTAAGGCCTTAAGCCCTAAACCCTAAACCCTAAATCCTAAACCCTGAACCCTGAACCCGAAACCCTAAACCCTGACCCCCCCCCCCCCCCCCAAAAAAAAAAAAAAACAAGAAAAACAATAGAACCTGAAGCCTCGGCACGCTGCATCCCGGGCCAGGCTTTCCGGCTCGACATGCGTAATTCGAGATGGCAGTTCAATGTCTTAGGGTTCGTAGTGTTTCGGGTTGAGCTTTTTGGTTGTTTAGTGGTTTGGGATTTGGGGTTTAGGGTTTAGGGTTTAGGGTCTAGGGCTTAGGGTTGATGTAGACCCAACTAGACACACAAGAGATCCTTGTCTTAAGTTGCAAAGAGCCTTGCAAACGCCTTGCAAAGAGCCCAAGTACTGAAAAGACACTCCACATGCACTGTGGACTACGACCGCATGCCCATGTTTGTATGTACATGTATATGGGTTTCTGGAGAACCAGCGAGGGTTTCGGGGAAATCTTCAGGGTCGTCGATCCTTGAGGGGGAAGTCCCGAGGGCGAGGCCCCCAGCGGGTCCAAGGGAAAAATTCTAAGGGGCCCTTCATCACCTGCAAGCTCCGAAGAACCCTAAACCCTAAGAACCCTAAGAACCCTAAACCCTAAGAACCCTAAACCATAAGAACCCTAAGAACCCTAAGAACCTTAAGAACTCGAAGAACCCTAAGAACCCTAGAACCCTAAGAACCCTAAGAACCCTAAGAACCGTAAGAACCCTAAGAACCCTAAGAACCCTAAGAACCCTAAGGCCCGAAGAACACTAAAGTCCCGTCCCGGGAAAGCTTGGGTGGGGGGGGGTGCTTGAGACACCTTGGACACCTCACGGCCTTTGGCAGCTTTTTGTCTTCCCCTTCTGTGTGTACGGCTTGTCCCTACTAGGGACTGTTAGTATGAGGGGGAGCATCCGGAGGGCTGAAACTCTGCCCTAAACCCTAAATCCTGAACCCTGAACCCTAAACCCTAAACCCTAAACACTAAACCCTAAACCCTAAACCCTAAACCCTAAACCCTGCTATGTTTGCTAGCTGGGCTTGCTGCTGCGGGCACTTCAGTCTGCAACTGTAGGCCTTTAAGCCCTAGAGTCGCCATGACCGGCCGCACAAGTCTATAGAACTTGGGATATTAGGGTTTAGGGTTTAGGGTTTAGGGTTTAGGGTTTAGGGTTTAGGGTTTAGGGATACTATTCCCCCTTATACTAACAGCTCCTTAATAGGGATTATAATCGGGGTACGCTAATCCCTATTAAGGACTGTTAGTATATCCTTTATCCTAACAGCTCCTTCATAGGGATTCTAATAGGGGGTACTCGAATCCCTAGTAAGGACTGTTAGTATAAGGGGAAGCATCCCAACCTGCTTGTAGAACTCTACTATTGGGACTCAACGCCGCCTAAGCCTTAGGCGTGAGGGCTTCGGGCTACAAAAGGCTCCAGAGGCTTTCATTGGGTTCAGGCAAACGGCAGGGGGTTCGGGAGTTGGGGGGCGAAGCAAATTGTACTTCTGAGACCCCCCTGACTGTGCAGGTCCTGTCGCCGATGGCTCAGAGCTGCTGCCCGCCGCATGTTGCTGGGTCTTACTTTTTCGCAAGCAGCAGGGCCCTGAAGGTTAAGTAGCTAGGATGGCCATCCTGCGTGGGCTTTATAGGGTTTGAGCAGCCCTGGGGCAAGGAGGTATAGATGGAACCATGGAACATCTAGCATGGAGGTAGAGCACTTTGTCCACCAGAGCTGGATCGATTTGACCCGGCACCCTACCACAACTTAGCGCTCAGAGCCCCAGCCTTTCAACACACCTACGCACCCCGCACCTTCAACTCTGACTCTAGCACCTCTCATGCTCCTCAGTTTTCCTGCGGCAGATTTTTCCGCCTCTTGACCCTACATCAGCGAGACTTTGTCGGCCTGCTGCCAGCCATCATGGGTTGCGGCGGCAGCGCTGGGGGACCCGATGTGACTGAGCAACCCGTGACTCCGAGCCAGGCACCGTAAACCCTATGAGACCAGGGTGGTACTTGGAGGTTCATAGTACTTAATTAGGCTTATAAAGCCCAATTAGAACTGTACGCATAACCCCATTACAGCCTTACTGGGGCACTTAAGGGGCTCGTAAGTAGGTTACAAGTACACTTATAACTGGTTAAGAAGTACCATGAAGCTCCACGTAGGAGCCCTCCCAAGTGCTAAACCCTGAGCCCTGCGCCAACATCCATGCAATGTCCTTCCGAGCTGACAGCTTCCCTGGCCGGTTGAAGATCCCACAGCTTTCTTTGGTATCCTCTTAGGGTTTAGGGTTTAGGGTTTAGGGTTTAGGGTTTAGGGTTTAGGAGTTGTGGGAGTAAGGCACCTAAACCCTAAACCCGAAACCCTAAACCCTTGTACCCAGAAAAGGTACAGGGTGCCTAGGGGCCGAAAGGGTTCAACAACCGCTCCCGGGCATCAGCCCGGAACGCGTTACGAGGTCCCAGTCTTGCGAAGCATCATTTGCCTGACAGCCTCCCATACACCTTTGACACACATTTGGTATAGCTCCCCAAATAGTAGGATCCCCTTGTAATGAGGGCCGCAAGAAGGCACCCCTAATTTCAGAACCCCCCCCCTGTCAAGGGACTAAAGGCTTGGGTTGTTTAGCAGACGTGATTTTGGGGCTACTTAGGTTTCTCGAAACTATATAAGGCAGAAAAAGGTTATATAAAGGAAAAAGATTCAGGGTCTCTGTATGCCCCTAAATCGTGTGAAGCATCTGAAACCCTAAACCCTAAACGCTAAACCCTAAACCCTACACCCTAAACCCTACACCCTAAGCGATGAACCCTAAACCCTAAACCCTAAACCCTAAACCCTAAACCCTAAACCCAAAACCCTAAACCCTAAGCCCTAAACCCCTGAAACTCTGCCCCAGAGCAGCTCCCTAAGGCCTCCCGAAGTGAGCTCCCAGATGCGGCGAAGGCGGAGGCGCCGACTCAAGGGATGAAGAAAGGGGTTTAGGCTGTTTAGGGTTTAGGGTTTAGGGTTTAGGGTTTAGGGTTTAGGGTTTAGGGTTTAGGGTTTAGGGTTTAGGGTGTACGGGTACGGTAGGAGGGTTTGTGGGGTTTTGGTTTTTAAAAAGCGTGCAGGCGGAGGGTGTAGGTCAGAGGCGTAGGGAATGTGCCCCCCGATATACATGTATATATATATATATATATTATTTTTCACTTCGAACGTCCCCACCTTAGCACTCCAGGGTCTCTGGGGTTGGGCACTGCAGGGAGTGTCTGGGGTTGGGCACTCCAGGGTCTCTAGGAGTAGACCGGGCGAGGAGAAGAGTTGAGTTCAAAATCTAACAACCCCACACCGAGGGTAGGGAGAAACAACTAATCATGCCCATATTGCCCTTACATAGAAGAAAGTATTTCATTTATTTTTTTTTTTGGGGGGGGGGAGGCTCTTAAGCAAACAGTAGTATAATCTGAATGGTTTTAGGGTTTAGGGTTTAGAAG